CCCCGGGAGCCGATCGGTGGCGAAGGGCTGGGGCTGTCCCCTCCGGGGGCTCTGAATCCCCCCAGCTTTGAGGGAACCTGCTCCAAGAATCAGGAACCTCAGCTGCCAGGGGAAAATGAAGCAATATATTTAAGGGCAATTGCTGGTGATTTTCAGAGTTTTTTGTTGTTTGGGGTTTGTTTTTTTTTTTTAACAAGACAACCCCTATTTTCTATCCCTCCGCCCCTAAAAAAAAGAAGTTCTTGATGTTCTGGGTAGTTACAGAAATACAGAACAATTTTGCCGCTTCTTGCTGGGTGAGGACAAGGGGTCGGGGGGAGCTGGCTGGGTGTGGGGAAAGAGAAACTCGGGGCAGGTTTCCTTTCCAAAGAGTGCCGTGTCTTCCAGGCAGAGCTGGCTGAGCGTGCCCGGCCAGCCCCTGCACCCGCCTCTGCTTTCGTGTGTATTTAAAAAAAAAAAAAAACCCAACAAAAAAAACTCTTAGCGGTTTCAGAATGAATCAATAGGGATGAAAATAAGCTGTAACAAAAGTTCTCACGTAATTTTGAGTGGCATTTCGGTTTCTTTGCGTGTTGGATTTCTGCTTTAAAAAAACCCAACAGGTATGTTTTTGCACTGGCACAAGTTGGTTTTCGGTCAGGGCTTTCTAGGATGGGTTTGATTAATTTAGAAGGAAAAAAAGAAAGCCTTTTCTTTTGCTTAATATGCTGTTAAATAACGTAGCTGAACAGTGCTGCAGCAATCTGGCCAAAAGCTGCCCGAGAGCCGTCCCCTCCCGTGTGATGTCCCTTTGGAGGGACTGCTCAGCCCCCAACTTTCCCTGTGCCTCAGTTTCCCCTCGAGCAGGATGGGCTGATTTCCATGAAGGGTTGGAGCAGAGGCCGTGCTCGGGAGCGGCTGGGGCACGCGGGGGGCGGGAGGCCGGGGGGCGCAGGGGTGAGTGAGGTCCCAAAGCCTCGCCGGTCCTTGTCACCACTGCCCAGCCGGCACCCTTGGGCGCGGGGTCAGCCCGCAGAAATGATGGCTTTTGTGGTTGCCCATAAAAAGTTATAACCACAGAAAAAGGAACTAGAGCAGAGAGTTGAAACTTCTGCTGGCGCCGGCGTCTTCTGCAGGAGGGGGCTGTGGGGATCCGCACTCTTACGGGAAGGCAGACGGGACGTGTCTGCCCAACGGCCCCGTCCCTTGTGCCGCTCCCCGGTAGAGCTGCGCCGTTCCATACCACCGCTGTGACTTTGGCTGAGCTGCTTTGGTTCTCCCCCGGTTTTGTTGTGGGACCAACTCTTTTGTCTGCTGCGATGAATAAAAGCGAAGCTGCGCAGAGTGGGGTGACCCATGGCGAGGATGTGGGGCCGTGGAGCAGCCAAGTGCTTCTCTTCAACCCCTTTCCTGCCCCACAGGTGTATCCATCCAACTCAGGTGATGACTACAGCAGGGATCCAGCTGGATATACTCCCTCAAAACCTGCCAGCACTGTGTATCCTGGAGCCTTTTATATGGCAGGTGAGTTATTAACAACCCTGACACCCTGCAAGCCGGCCAGAGCAGGGGCTGCCTGGCCCATTACGGATGATGGGAGGAATTGCACAGCACGTGAGATGGAGGGAGCTCGGGGCAGGAGTGCATGAGACACAAAGCAGCCCCAAAATGGCTCCAGTTTGCTCAGCAGGTGATGCGCAGCATAGGCAGGATGCAACGGGGGATGGACCTTGGCCCAGGCTGACAGGCACCCGTGTGGGACGCATGCTGGCGTCTCTGCCCTGCTCAGCTCTGATTTTCCTTCCAGATGGGCTCCATAACTCGCCAGACCTGTGGAGTTCACCGGGTGCCATGAGCCAGTCGAGTTACGGTGCCATGCTGGGCAGCTCCTCCTCCCCGCTCCCACAGTCCAGCGGCTTCAACAGTTTACATCAGCACGAACGCATGGTAACACATCCCCACGCTGCCCCGCGGGTGGGCTGGCGGGCTCCGCTCGGCCGGCCAGTGATGGCATGTCACCTCATCCCATCGCTGTCGGCTCACGGTGGCTGCCGACAGGGAAGGATCTGGGTCCTGGCCTGGATGCCAAAGCCCGGCAGCCTTTCGAGGGCACCTCTCACCCCTCTCCCCCTCTCTGCCAGAACTACCAGCTTCATTCAGGAGAGGTTAACGGCGGACTTCCCTCTGTGTCTGGCTTTTCCTCCGCCTCCACGCCGTACGGTGTCTCCAGTCACACGCCCCCGATCAGCGGGACGGACAGCATGATGGGTACGTACGGCACCCGCGTACGTGGTGGTCCCCGGCATGACCCCCCGTGCTCCACTGCCGTGCAGAGGCTTAACTGGAAAATCAAAGTCTGGTGCAAACCTCTGATGCCTGATCCTGTGATATCTGTGTCCGACGTACACAGATGCATTTTATTCCTTGTGTGTCACCGATGTGTGGAGTTGCTGCATAAGGAAGAGGTGGAATGAGGTTGTTGTAGGCTGTAACAGAGAGATAGGGTGCTGGCTTGGGGGGTTTACACCTTACTTGGTGGATTTGGGAGGAGACCAGGATCTGTGACATTATCTCTTGGAGGTGCTGTGGCTTAAATGAGTTGCAGGAAGGATTTGCATCCGCGTTGTGGGAAGGCGGGGGTGTGTGTGAAGCCGTTCATCTAAATTCAGAATAAGAATGTTTGTGCTGCATTTGGGTACCACCTTAAACCCCCCGAGTGCTTTAATCTCTAACCCTGATGAACCTGTTACAAAACACGTTAATGAAATGAACTCGTGTTCCCCAGGAAATGAGGATCCTGACCTTGATTTGTAGAAAACCCCTTGTTCAGAGGAGGGGAAGCAAGTTTGGGATTGTAGGGGCTTAAGATGCCCCTTGAAAATGGGCCATGCTGCAGCAGAGACATTTGATCACTGTTGATGGCATGACACCTTCGACCCAGCATCTTACAAAGGCGTTCCTGCAGCCCCATGAGAGCTGCCGGGGGGTGTGTGCCCTTGTCCGGGCTGCTCTGAGCTGGGCATCCATTTAATTTTCAAGCAAAGCAGTAAGAGCAAGAAATTTCTAGTCTCAGAGTAGGTGACCCCAGAGAAGGTCTTGTACGGGTGCCTTGTCCTGCTGGGTTTCTGAGGCCCTGGCAGTGATGTCTGTGTCCTCTCTTGGCAGGTAACAGAGGAACCACAGCTGGGAGCTCAGGAGACGCGCTTGGGAAGGCACTAGCTTCAGTAAGCGTTTCTGCAGATCCTTGACCCCAGTCCCTGTCCTGTTGCGGCGTTGGACGTCCCCTCTGTAACAGGGATGCTCTAGGCAGCAGGGGAGGTGGACATATTGAGAAATTTGGGTGAATGCACCCCAAAAACCCAGCAGCCTCTGAGGGGAGGGGTTTTTTTCCCTCCATCTTGAGTCCTGGCACTGTGCAAAAGCACCTTTTGGCAGATGGGGAAGCTGAGGCACTGGACGTTACCGTGGCCCCGCAGACCCGTGCCCATGAGCTGGCTCTGCGGCCGCCCAACCTGGTACTGGTCTGGCAAGACGACCCTGCGCAGCCCTTGTAGCAGGACTTGCAGGTCCCAGTAGTCCTGGCCCCGCATGTGCTGGTTCAAACTGGAGGGCACTGGTCCCACTGGGCTATCAGAGCTTGGATTTGCCTCTCTCCCATGCGGTGCAGGGAACCTTTCCTTCTGCATGGTGGCAGAGGGGTGCCAACACTGCACCCTGCAATAATTTCCTGGGGCTTTCGCTTCCCTCCAAGGTGGCACTTGAAGAACGGAGGCTGCGACTGCAGGGTTGGTGACGGTGGGGACAGAGAGACCCCGGCATTAATGGGGGAGCTGTGGGGGGCACTAACGGGCTGGGCCATCGCGCCAGCTGGGAGCTGGTGCGGGTCTGGGAAGGGAGATGCCATCGGGTGGTCCCATCGGGTGGTCCTCGCTGCACCAGGGCTTGACAGCGTTGATGGGGAGGGGGAGAGCTGTCGCAGGGGTGGGCGCTGCTGACCGTGCCTTGCTTTTCTCGCTCCAGATTTATTCCCCTGATCACTCTAGCAATAACTTCTCGTCAAACCCCTCCACACCGGTCGGCTCCCCTCAGGGGCTTGCAGGTAGGTGAAAAACTTTGCTTTTTGTGTAAAGGGGGACGTCAGGTTTGCTTTCGGGAGGTCCAAGGCAGCGTAATTCCCACATCAGCCCCAGACCCTCATTAAAGACACTTTTGGCAATTTCACCAAATCCCATTTATTTTTAAAAGCAGGAGAGCAAAGAGAAAGGACAAGCAAACTTGAAGATACTTTTTAAAATGTCTCCTGTGAAGTTGCATGTCTGTCTGTTTTCATCGGTTGTAGCTTTTTCCCCATTTGGAGCTGGGCAGTGCCCGGCTGCGGCAAACGCCGCAGTCGTGAGGGCGATGGCTCTGCCTGCGCCTGGCTTTGCCCCTGTATAGGAGTTTTAGCAGGTGGCTCTGCCGGAGGCATGAGCTTGGCCCCGGTGGTAGCAGCACCACGCGTTTGAGTTAAAGCATCGCTGCCGTTCAGACAGACCCTGTACCTGAGCGTCCTGTCTTGGAGAGAATTTGTCCTTGGTTTTGTCTCCCATGGGAGGAGCACAGTGGGAACTGGGAAGCAGCGAACTAGTTAAAAACCGTTTTCAGCACCTGATGAAGCCCGTCTCTGCTCCCATCCGGCAGGAGAGGTTTTGTTTCTGCCCAGCAGAGTTGATGCTGAGGCTCCTTGGTGCCCGGGGTGCAGAGCAACGTACGCCCACCAGCCTGCTGCTCCCCTGGGGTCGGGGCGAGCGCAGCGTGTGTGCTGGCTGCCCGCTCACTGAGATGATGTAAATTTAAAAACCTCTCAAGGTCTGAAGGCCTGAGCTCAGTTTCCTGCTG